TTTTTTGGAAACTTGCTGGTTTAGCTATAGTAGTTCGCTGGAATCCCGAGGTCAGCCTGGCCAAACTCTGCCCCAGGTCATCACCACGACAGGCAGTCGCAGTTTTTTTGGATTAGAGGGAGATTTGCAACCATACGACTAGTTTTATACCAGGACGGTGGTCGATCCTAGTATTGCTTTACTCTTAGCTAGGCTTCCTGATAGAAAAACCGGACTCCTTTTCAGCTTGGGAGACCCTACCGGTTAATAGTTAATAAGAATCGCTAGGTGTTGTTGTAGTCGCTCAGATGAGTACGCAAGTGCTCTCCTTTGCAAGTGGAGTCACTGGATGAACTCCGTGCTCATATGCGTACACACATCAATAATGATATTTTGTCTTAAATCTGCTGATTGCGACCTCGCATATGCGACCATTTACAGTGGAAGCATTGAGGAGCGAAAGACGGACGGCTCTGAGTTACCTACTTGACACCGTCTAACATTTTTTGCGGCAAACAGTATGCGTCGCGTGAACGTACATGTTCAATCCACAATTGAGATCTGCTTGAACTGCAGGTCTAAAATGGCCGCCAGTTGATATTCCTAATAGAAGAGCGATCGTAATTTGTGGCAAATTGTGCTCTCAACACACATTCGAACATTAGATACGTCTCTCAAAGAGAAAAAGATGTTGACGACAGCGGCGAATATCAAATAACGCTGTCATCGGCGCGTACGTGAAATGGCGGCTCGTCGCCCGTTGTACGTCGCTTCTGAATACAAAGAAGTGCTTTGCAGGATAATTCGTGACAATGAGTTGGCGAAACTCATGTAATCGTTCTTCTCGACGAAAGCTACTATTAGTACAGATATGCACCGATCTCATTCAAATATTCATCCGCTTCTATCCGGCGCTAATCTACGATCGGCTAGCTATGTTACGATTTTCCTCGGTATTACGTCGACATGCCATGAGATTCCACAAAATATGTGCGGTTAGAACTGACGGACCGATGCGCAGCCGACAAGGTCCACCACACGGTTCGAGTTCACCGTCGACCGATACTAAGGCGACATTCGGGTCGTGCTGCTGTCAATCCGAGCAAATTTTCCTTTCCGGCAATCAATATGCGGGCCTAGCCTCAGTGCTCTCGATTATTCGATGCATACGCCGCACATGAATAACCCAAAGTCTTTCATTATACGACATGTTTATGGTTTTTTTGCTTTCTGTTGAAATTCTATGTTCTTGAAAAGTTTTGTGGTTGTCGTTCGCTTGGTAAATGTATTGGTTTATGAATAAACAGGTCATTCAGCTGCTGCATTGCCTCTTTTAAGAGCACACGACGTTAATACGGCCCTTATTTATCAGAAGCAGTACGGCAACGAACAGATGACTGTATCGTTCGACTCATTCGCAGATGGCAAGGTCTGTCGTCGTATCCATCCCCAATTCTTTCGATGGTGGTTGAAGTGGCCGACAGAAGGCAGACACACCAAATACCGATTGTCTACAAATCACGATGTTCGAATGATTGCTCGAGCAACCAGTTGTCGTTATACACGACCGGAGTCGACACGAGCTTCTTCTATCTTATCCTCAGTTTTAATAACATCCGAACACTCGGCAGAACAAGTCTATCCACGTCTGCGCTATATTAGTCCCTAATTTCAGTGTCCATCAAAAAGAGAATCTTTTTAAGAGACCATCATTTATGCAAGAGAATCGTCGCGTATATTGAAATTCGGATGTTGACGCGTCATCTTTTCTACGCATGAGCGGTGATGCGTGAAATTGTGTTCTAATCCTTAGTTCTAAGAAACTGAAGAATAGATGGAGCTCGTTTGACCGATTCACGTTTGATTGTTTAGACCTTCGTTACTTAAAATATTCAAAAAGTTCCCGGAAATTTACCATAGAAATTCGTCCGAGCTTTCACTTCTTTGCCGACTTACCAATTCTTCCAGCTCCCGCCACATTTTGGAGAAACTGAGACAGGCCTATTTTTACGACGTTTAGAGTTAAAAAAATTCGTTAATAACGAAACATATGAATAAATTTGCCTGTATGGCAGTTGGAAGTGGTGTTGGGATGCTACGGAGTAAGTGTGGAAAATGAGGCAATGTTCGTTGTGGAGCTGTTCGACCTTACTGGAACTCGAATCCGAGATAATGAAGCAGATGCGTATGCAAGCGATAGACCACTGATTTGTTGGTTGCTTGATTCTAGTCTGATAACTACAATTGGTTGAGACCAGCTCTTTTTATCTACATTCGAATTTCCCGCCAAAGCAGGAATACTGTATCTTATCGTTGTGATTTTTTGTATTTTTCTAACTAATTTGTTCTGGGTTTCTGATCTTATACTTCATACTATGATTTTTTTCTAAGAAATGAGATTTTTTGCCTATTCGTTAGCCTCATGTTTGTGATGCACCAAATTCTGATGCAGAGTTTCAAGGGCCGTTTTTTTCTACTAGAAAGCTCATGCGAACTTTTTACAGTTAATCTTCCTTTTCCTCATTTTTGATCACATTTTCAATATTATCGTTGTTACAACGAAATAAGGAACTAGATTAATCGCGAGTTTACTGCTCAGGAACGTGATCCATTTACTTTTCCGTTGATCTTCGAACATTCTTCTCAGTGATTCTTAATGGTCTTTCTGTGAATGAGATCTGGTGAGATGGGGAAGAAATCTTTACCTGGGACATCATTGCAACGTCAACAAAGAGCACATCCAAGACAGCCCTTGAGAGTGTTTTAATCTTTAAGCTTACAGTATCGAAAATATCTCCCACGCCCATCTAAGATGTCAGTGAGACCAAATGTCACACTAGGACTAAGGTCATCAAGACAGGGAAGAGCAACAAGCGTCAATTAAACGGCGAGGCCTTCACCATACTTAAGAGAAGATGTTGCCCCAAAATTGAAAACTGGCCTTTGCTAATTCGTACACCTATCCGTTGTTCACGCCTCCTTATATAAAATCGTATCACTTTGCTTAGTAGTATTCCATTTTCATTCACTAGATCAGGAAAAAATTAATGTTACCAGTTGCTATTCAACAACCACTGCAAGTGTTGAGACGAAACTGATGCGCTCCACTTAGCTTTTAGCTGGAAGATGTGATTCGCAACAAAGCGTCCTTCCGTACGTTTGTCGTCAGAGCATTCTATAGGAGAGACTGATGAAAGTAAGAACAGAATAGGAATAAAAGTGCGGATTCCACGGCGATTCATTACGTCAAAAGATTGAAAACCTCGAAATCTGCAGGATCGTTTCGTATATCGGTCACAATCCTATGAGGGGAAAGTCTTTAGTTCATTTGACACCTACGCTCTCACATTCTTCCATACGAAGTCCAGTGGCCGTCCCCTATGTTCAAAGGTTTGATTTACTCATTTGCTGAAAAACAATCTCTGTCACTGCCCAGTAAGGAAAAGAGAATTGGCGTATGATGAAGAAATTTTTGACAGCAAGTTTTCTCTTTGTTCGCTTGCTTACTTATCGGCATATTTAGACGGTTCGTCTTCACGAGTTGTGCGGAGCCCAGCACATTTTCTATTCGTCTCTTTGCCAAGCAATCGTGGTCCATGGGGGTGGTTTGATTCGGGCCTCGTGGCGGGTGCGGGTGTTTTACCGTTACCTATAAAATAGCGGGAACTAGGAGCGGGGACCTATTTAACTTTGGTTACAAACACGTCCGTCCAATATGAGTTAGTCGTCCTAGGGAACGTCTGCATCCTTATGGAGTCCACTCTACAGTTCTTTCCGTCCATCTGTTGTCTTTTTTTCTCACTACATGACTGGCACATTTGTTTCGTTATCGAAATGTGTTCTACTGGGTCTCGAAGACAAAATTGATTTCGAAGATCCTGCTTCTCAATCTGGCTATATGTTGCGTTTGCTGGTGATTATATTTCAGAAGACATGATTCAAGCACTCTGTGAGTAGTGAGTATTCTTAACGAGATTGAGGTATCTCTGCCTACGTCTTTACTACACATCAGAGCGCTGGGAGAATTGAAAAGGTGAGCGTGGATTTTCCGATCCCTTAGTTAGTTTGTCTTTTCCTCGAGAGTACCAAATTCGTCCCAAGCTACTCTCCTTCTTTTTCTAATTCTTCCTTCATGTTGTTCTCCATGTCCATTAAACGTCCAGGATATACGTTCGAGGTGATCTCTACAATCAGAGGACCATCCAGTGATCTTTTCTCCTTTGCACCATGGGTTTTTCATTAACTGGGTCTTCGTCCTATTTATACGCAAGTCCTATGTTTCCTCCTTCTTCGTTAAGCTCATTTATAATCTCTATGCCTCTTTGTACTTCTTGAAAATATGACGATGCCTTCCGCTAAACGTAGATTTTAAAGGAATTTTCCATCAGTACACATGCCTTTCTCATCCCAATCGAGTGACTTCGTTATCCACTGCACTGCGGCAGTAAACAGCTTTATATCGAGTCGCTTTTTTGAACCTCTTTTCCCATGGGTATGGTAAGAGGTGGATGGAAAAGGTGTAATTTCATAGTGCATTTCCGATAACAGTCAGTTAAAGTTCTTATATGCAACGAGTTCACTCCACCGACAAGCGCTTGTAGGATTGCATTCGTGAGCTGTTCCTCTTTTTCATGCTTTCGATCACAACTCAGTCCTTATAGAGAAGAAATCCAGGTGGGTTTTATTAAGCTGGGACGGGAATTATGGAACAGCAAAGATTGGTATTGAACTTTTCCGTTATCAATTATATATCATGGTGGAACGTTTTAACGATTCCATTTCCATTCATTAGTTCTTCCAGCGGAACGTTATGCTCACCTCAAGTCTCAGCTGCATTTCTTCAGACTGATTATTTTTTTGCTATTTCTAACACTTTCTACCTCCTGTCCCGACGTCCATGCAAAGCTCTCCTGTAACTGCCATTTGTTACCAGCCGCTTCAACTGCATAGTAGTAGGATCAGGCTTCAGTTTCCGTCTTTCTCGAGCAACTCCTTAGTGGTAATGGATATACAATCTGATATTATTGCTTCAAAAACTGAAGTGAATTCGTCGATTTCAGTATGCGTCGTACTGTTAGGCGATTCCCGTGACCAGCAGCGAATTTCTTTCTTCTGGAAATGTGAATTTCCTCGGAGGAAACGTGCCGCAGACAGAAATCCTGCAAGAAGGTGTCCATTCTCATCTCATTCTCCCAATTCAGATTTTCCGGTCTTGTATTCTGGCTCTCGTTCGCCTTTTCTTTTCTGGCGTTCAAGTCTCCGACAAGGAATTTATAATACCATTTATCTTTGAGGATAATTTTTTCCAACTGATAGTAGAACATATCTATTCGTGCTCAAGCAGCTTCATCGTTCTCATTGCTAATAGCAGATCAATGAAGACCCGGTACAGTTTCTCGGAATGTTCGCCATGAAAATTAAAAATTTTGCAGAATGAGCCTCAGCAGGCCATTCAACGATTTCGAGCTGCTTCTCCATGAATATCAGTGACTTACACGGAACCAGAAGTAGAACTGAACTGGATTCTTCTTTAGTACACAGCCAATGAATTTTAAACGTGGTTCGCTTTTCCATCCGCAGCCCCCTCTACATGGCACATTTGTTAGATGCATTAAGGAAATCAAATTTCTCAAATCTCTTCAGATTATGGAGGATGTATTTGTAAACGGAAACTGCAGTGGTCTCGGCAAGCATTTTAACCAAATTCAGCTTATATGCCTCCCTAATGTGCTAAAAAACATCCATTTCGCAATCATTTCTGAATTAAGGATATCTTTTCACGAATAAATATGTCTACAAACCCGATTACACTATTACGTCTATCGTGTCGCTTATCTCATCATCCCGTGCCCACATAATTCCCCACTCGCTGCGAGGGGTCGAGCTGTAGGTGACAGGTGTCATCCCGCAGACTATCCACCAATTTAGTCATCCAGACTCTGATCACCAGTGACGCGACGTTGATGCAAAATACTGACGAAGTGAAAAGAATATTTAGACAACGTCCACCTACAATGCAGCTGCAAACATTGGGAAATTCATGTTGCAAGACTCCACAACTCAGTTTGCCTTGGTCAGCTTTTTTGTACTCATTCACGTCGTTTAATGGCCTCAAGGTTTACAAACATCTAAATCGAAATGCGGCCCTAATTATTGGATGTTTAGAGTAATGTCGTTGCAATTTTCTGTCGAATTCACGAGCAGATGTCCAGGAAACGAATGGTGAATGCAGGCTCTTAATCTCATCCGCCAGCAAATACCCACGGCTAATTCCTGTTCCGAGAATTTTTACGTACCACTTTATTATTGCGCGATGCAGAAGCCCGATTATCTTCTCGGGAAAAATACAAAGTGACAGTCTGTGCATTAGATACCCAATTGTCACGGCATTTCGTGAGAAGACTTGACCGAGTGCTTCATGGCTTTCGGGTTCCGTTTATGCTATAGTTGACCAATCGACATGGAAATCGTCCAAACCAGTTTCGATATTATTTTATGATTTTTAGAGCTGCTTATGCCGAGAAACCTTTAATGATAGGAAGGCAAATATGGAATGAACATTATAACCGGGCTGATTGCGATACTTCATTATACCGGATATACTCTTTTAGCATTGCCAGTATCCCTTATGATTGCCTTCTGTCTTGTATTCGTCTTTCTATAAAAAGTTGCTGTACAAATGTGAGGCAGCTTCGCTAAGCTAGACAGCTCGGCTTGATTCAGTTTTGCAGGAATGTTATTATTCCTTTACGAAAATCTACCTATATTAAATTGAATAGTCTCGATAGAAATAGAATAGACACTTATGTTCTAATGGCTACTCCAAAGACATAATTGTGCTTTACTGGTGAGTAGACTTAAGTGCGATTTTTGCTGCTAGCAGAGACGTCTACTGCTGGGAAGCGTCGTGCTAATGGGTTCGGCCTCACAGCTGAAAACTATTGACATTTGGATAAGGATTTGTGGGTTACGTGGATCGATCTCGCATTAGAAATGTCTTACTGAAAGCCGTTCATAAGCACGCGACAAAGAATAACGTCGTCCACCTTCAAGATGAGAATCCTTGAGACCATTTCTAGAAGAATCATTAGACGAAGATTTGACGTTTTGCTCAAAAAATTGTGTTTGATCCCATTAATCCGGGAACAAGTTCTAGTCGTTTTCATTGCTGCATATTCTAGTGTTCTTTGTCAGACTAATTTACCTTCGTGTCATAATTTCCACACACTGCTTCGTGCCTTATCCCACTCCAGTCCTGAAAACCGAATACTTTCTTTGTCCAAAACTCACTTTACATACAAAAGAAGAAAAATTGTTGTTGAGTTACTCTTAATTTTCGCTTTGTGTGCCGCTTTCTTCAAATCTTGATCAATCACTCATTTGAACACACATTAGCTCTCAGGTGCCGTGTTCACTGCCATGTAACCCAAACGCTATTGTTTTACTCCTTCTCACATTTACTCATCTTGTACTTATTCCTTCTCATAGTTTCTTCTCCTACGTATGGTGAAGGAAATCGTCTAAATGCCCATCAAATGCTCAAGAAACAAAGCGCGCTTCTTTTTTCGAGATGATTGAAACGTTGTGCGCACCGCGATGTCTCGTGAGCTACTGTATCTATTCATACTAGAACCCACCAAGATTCATTGTTTTGTGGTTTATTTTTTCCTGTCGTTTTACCGTGCCGTGTTCGAGGTCATCTTCACAATAGACAGGTGGTTTTTGAGTGATAAGGTCGTGACAATTACTGTAATTACCGTAGCCAAGGACCACCCAGGTTGGTAAAATTTACGACATAATTATGCCCTTAGTCCACTTGCCGAATGTGAATGTCGAATATAAACGGAAAGCATAAAAGCTGACGTTTTCATACTAGGAAATTCTCTCTGTCATAAGGCGGTAGTGCGATTACAACTTCTGGAGACGCTAGCGTGAGTGAGTATCCTGCGTAGCTGTGGAAACGCTATGCAAAAACCCTAAAGTGAAGCATGACAGGCATTTTTCATTGGTGATTCCTGCTTTTTTGACATTTCTGAATCACTTAGCTGCTATAGCAACAAAATCTGTAATCGGTATTTTTTGTTTGTAGGACAAATGGATCTGCCCTGTCAAGAATGTGAATGAAGATTCTGCCGTTCAACATATCAATCGTTGAAATGAAGTCCCCAGACATTCATGATGAATGAAAATTTCTTCGGAACATCGTTTTTGGCATTCTATTTGGCTTCGTTAAGAATCGGAAAGTTTCCAATTTCTAGTGGTGTTCTGCTTTGAACCTTATTCTACCAGACAGTAATAATAAGACCAATATCTTCCTCAGCGAATGTGGCTTGCTCCTCGGTTTCTTAGGAAACACTGACTAGCTTTCTATTGGCAACGACGTGCTCCTTCTCGTTCCATCCTTAAATTTCATCATATTTAATAATCCTTAGAATAGAAAGTCTAAAAATGCCGACATTTAAGTTGTATGTCATAATGTAATCAGAACACAAATGTACATATAGAAGATCCCATTTTATCGACATGGTGTTTTATGAAAGCATCAACAGAACCATTCATAGTGAATTTTCCATCAGAGGTCTCACGAGAGTCCCTTATTGTGAGAGGGATATCGAGCCTGTTAGTAGCGATGCTATCGTGACGTGTCCGTCCCCAAGTGCGAATGGGGATTACACAACCTAGAGCGACCGTGTACTTTGAGACGCATACTTCGGTACTCCCCCACTAAGCCTCCAATAAGAGGATAGGCCTATGTCTCTGCTGAGCCGGATTGACTTATATCTTTCATGTACACATAATCACAATCACGCGTACGTGCGAACGTTTGCATTCCATGTGGATTGAATCGGACTGTGCGTTGATTTACTAGAAAGTTGACATCATATGAATAAAAATGCTTCTTTCAACAAATAGACCCCATATTTACTCCGATTACCGGAATCTGTGGGTGCATTCATCCTCAACAGCACACAGTGGTGTCCTACCTATAGGTGCCTTACAGCAAAAACCGTAGAAATAAAGAACCTGGTAGCAGAAGTGCTGTGGTTTTCGTGTCTACTTAGCCAGTGGAGCCCATTGGATAACTCGAGCACGCCACAGACCGGAATGAATATTTTATTGATCTTTACGACCCCACTTGAGTCTCTTGTTGGTGACTGAGGTGGTAAACGTTATACTGGTAATCTTAAGTTTGTGTGCCAATACTTTTCGAACCTTTCGTGGTTGGGACATTTCAGTGGCCGTTAAACAGGGATATGCAGAGAAAATCTCTTAAGGAGACTACTTAGGCTGGAAGGAAGTCTGACACGTTCGCATGCAAACCCAGCTTGGAGTTGCCACGTCTATCAAAGAGCGCCATTGTCATGAAAGAAATGGTGTCGTCACAAAGTGCAGCTGTAGTGACGACTTGAGGCGTGTCTCGCATTTCCGATAACAATTACTTGCTCAACCAGCAAAGTAGCAGTCCAATGCAAATCGTGTTGAGTCCGACATGTCTAAGAAACAAAGTAATTACTCATGATTCACACATAATCGTTGTGACATGAGTAGGACTTCAAATTATATCCAGCGACATCAAGCTTAATTTCTACTTCTATTTTAGGGCTTACTGGAGTAGACTTTGTTGCGCTCTATTGCTTCCCCGTCTGAACGACACCCATTAATGTGTCGCTTAGGGACCCATTAATTTGCTACCATATGCTTTTCATTCTTGAGTTCTAAAAACAGATCCATACGTCATTGTAGCCAATCTTCATCATCGCTTTTTCAGCGAAAATAATCTAAAAAACCGATAGTTAAGGTAATCCTGTTAGTGGGAATAGAAATAGGACGTCAAAAATCAGTGTGACTCGTCACTGTTTTATCAAAATTTCGTAGCGTTTTCCTTTCAATTTTTTAATTTCCATCCAATGACAGTTACATAAAGTCCAAGGGTCAGATTTTATGACACCGGCTTTCTTTTCGCAGTTCTAACTCTTTATTTTGGCTCTGAAAATATTATATAATCCTATACTGCTGAAGACAACTCGTCCGATTCGAAATCGGTGCAGTGCACTGACTCGAACTGGTCTCATAAGAAGCACGGGGATCCTGAAATCCCCCAATTATTACCCATTCCCCGTTTTCAACACATAATGTTCGCCAGAATACTATCCAATAATTCGCACGTCGAAAACCCCCTGTTTGCGGATTTCTCACCACGTACCGTAATCTCCTTTTGAGCACAATATGACGCAACAATACGACATTAGCTGCTATATAAACATCGGATCCGATTTAACTACTAACCTAGTAAAGATGTTCAGAAAACAAAAATCCCAGGAAACAGCAGGTGGAGAGGAAGTGAACAATAGTTGGTTATTACCCTGGGAATACACGCGGCAAACCGATTGTGTTACGTCCAACGACAAACAGACGGTGTTTGGCAGAGGAAATCCTAGGCTCAAGAGACGGTTCCTAGAAATAGATATGGAAGGAAAATTGGGAGAAGTATACTACGGATGGCAAGAAGAATTGAACAAGGAGGCCATAGTAGTTAGTGTTATCTTCATTTTCCGTTTCAAGATCGAGACAGTGCACTTCTTCAACATGAATGTTTTTCGGTCTAAGAAAGTGTAATGGTATACTGCATTCCCAATAAAGATATGTTCTCTGGCTTCATTAATTTGTGAGTGAACAAGAAATTTGTCTGAGGACTGCTCAAGCGACAACCAAAATTGTATTGCTAGCACGCAATGTGACGTTGGACTAGCTTTCCCGCTGTTCTACCAACTTTATTCTGTTCGTAGTTCAGTCGTAATACTCTGAAGACTAAACACGTAGTACCTCGTCGACTATGATCAATTTCTATACGATTCCAGCAAGATAGAGTGTCATTAGCAGGGAATCAGAACCTAGGCATATTCGTATAAACGGAACCTTAAGTTGTCAGCCATCATATAGCGACCCTAGGATCCCTTTGGTAGATCCTGAGAGGGTCGAGGCTCTAGCGGAAACAAGCCGGCTGCGTTTGTTTGGCGCTGCACGCATATTGTGTGACCTGGTATAGCCCTAGCACCTGAACTGAAAGTGCTCAGCTGCGTCGATCTAGTGAGTAACCAGTCAGTCCATCGGACCACGAGTAGCAAATGTATATTCTATTACATATCAACTTATGTAACGTGATCATAACTGTCATAAAATAGAGCTGATGTTAAATGTAGGCAGTTGTTGGCATATTTTGCAAGTATAAAAGATTATGACGCACATTATCTGATACCGTAATATCAGATATTGATTATGAGTGAAATTAGTACGGGGACGCAACCAATATAACCATTTCAGTGTCCGTCATTCCAACTTAAAGTTTAGAAGGATATTGAGTGCTTCTCTCTAAAAGCAGCTGCAGCTCTAAATCGAAGAACTTTTCGAGTCCTGACTTGAATTCGTCAAAGTTGGCACTTACCATGATGGGTATTTAGAGCCTAGAAAAGGTGAAAACTAAGCAACGCTTAAATCCAAATTATACGGTCGCGGCTGCAGCAATAGCGACCAGTACAACGACAACAACACCACGAAGTACCTCCCGAATTCGCGAGTGACCAATGCTTTTCCACTTGGCGTCGCTGCTCGTCGTCGCAGATCAAGAAACAGCAGTCTCATTGCCACAAGATTCGATGCTCCCGTCACCAGTGCTGAAGTGCAGAACCACTCAGACACAGTTGTCTTGCACGATGCGTTCATCCGACGTGGTGTTGCCATTGATGGTAGTGAGATTGGTAGTGTTGCACAGCATGTTTTAAACTCGATAACGATCCATTTTGTTGCTCTCCTTCCTTTCATGCTTGCGTTCTTTTATACTCCCGATGAAATGTTATACTACGTAACTGAATATTGTACGTTTCTGAGGTCCGTTTCGATGAAAAGTTGCTTTTCTACTTTGATTTCACGCGAACTCACTATAGTGTTTTCCGTTGACTGTTTCCGTTCACCGTATGCTATATATGTTACTCATTGACATCCATAGAGCGTAGCTTTTGCTTACGCTACGCAACATGTCGATGTAACCCTACCGTTGATTATTACGAGCGCAGCAGGAAGTTTCCGGAGTACATAGAGTGTCCTGGGAATGTCTGCCAACGGCGTGTATTATTTGTTAAGCATTGTACGTTTTAGAGATATTCAGATGAATTCAAAGGTTACGGTTCTATTGGTCCCCCAATCTGCAGCCTCGAAGACCATACGTACCAAAAATTACGGATGTTGGAATAAGATATCGATCAAATATCGGCATAATGAGGGGTTAACTTTGAACTGCTCATTTAAAGCCGTACTTCAGAGTATTTCAGGCGAGACGGCTTTACCACAGACATGAAAAGGCGGGGAAACTACTACTAAAAACCTAATGAAATCGGGAATCATCCATGTGTGTGTATCTTTCAGCGTTTAGATATTCGAGCAATTTCCATGGAATTACCTCATTAATCGTATATTGCGGAAGCGCATTTGAGTTGAGAGGGATCGCAATGCAGTTCCACCACGTACCACGCCGCTCCCTTGCCTTCGTCGAATTTGCTCGCGGTCCGCTCAATACGGCCTTTCCGCATGGTATGCACGCCGCCAAAGCAGTAACGTCGTCATTCTTCGGATTGCGTCCACAAGATCGTCCACTGGTTGTAATCATCGTCTCAGTGGGACGTAAGGTAGTGACGCTTGTGGAATCTTCCTAGAGGTCACTGTTCTTGTAATCTCATCGGTGATTCCCGGAAATGCCATAGTTTTGTTCGACCAAAACGAAGTCACTTGCATATCACCTAGAAGATAATAGCAATGCTTCTATCTCAAAGAATCGTCAAAAATGTAAGGCGCATTCCCATAGGGGAATCTTGACAAGCTATTCAGCTGGTACCTAACGTTGTTCTTCGAGTTATTTCGGGACAACATAAACATATGTCAACGTTATCGCAAAAGTTGCGATCTCTTAGCATTCAGCATGGAATCGCTGCGTTGTTGCCTTTCCGTTTTCACTCCTAGTCTACATTTTCAATCTCCTACTCGCCTTACCAGCACGTGTTACCGATTCCACATGTGTTTTTCATTGTTTTTTTCTCTTGACATTACATCGAAACTCTGCTTACAAAACTTGGATCTCAAGACATTGCCCATTGCACCTATGCGTTCAACAGTAAATTCTTCGTAACGTTTTTAGTGCTTAGGCTGTTAATGAGAAAAGCTTCAAAACTATTAGTCCCTAAAAGTACCCTTAGGCGTATATTGCGAAATAACCATCTCTCTCTCCATTCGACATTATTGCTGAGACAAGCCACTTTTAATAAATAAACAGCAATGTGGCTGGTGAGTAGCACCGTTGAGAACAGCATCTCATCCAGCAAACGAGTGCATTGTGAATGAATTAAGAATGGGAGACATGGGCCGCCTGGCACAGCATGAATGGTCGACGCGAGCCATTCAAGATCCTCCGAGTGCATGCCACAGCACTTGCGTGGATCTGACGACGACCTTGATTGATTAGTGGTTTTGTATTTGCGTCTTTTTTTCAGTTTTCACTGGGAAATCCAACTGAATACTTAACCGACAACTTCGGAATATTCGAATTCGAAGCGTACGCGTTGTTTTAGCCCACGAGACGACTAGGAGATTTAGCAATGGCTCTGGTTACGATATAGGGATAGGTGTAACTAATCGATGACGACGAAGACGCACTCCCTTTGTGGCTGTACCTATTGTTATTCGAATAGTCACGACTTGATCGACTGGGGTAGTAGTAATTGCAGCAGCGCACCAATATCCAGGCTTCAACAAAGTGGAAATTTCGACGAATCAAAACCTGGGTCTCACTTAATCTAGCATGCTTCATTCATAGAAACGTCATTTTCCACACAGACGCTCCCAGGTCGTAACAATTTCCTCAACTTGGATATGCATCGTTTTCTCTTGGCTACCTAATGTCGCGATTCTATCAGTTCTTGACGAGCCGAACGACAATGACCAATCGGGAGTAAGTGCCACACAGTAACTCGAGCATTCTTAGATTTTTACTTCGATAGAAACACACCCACCATACGTCTGTAGGAGAGAATTTCCACCGTCCTAGAATTCCCACTGGTCATAACGCATTGCTATTTTGTGTTTCAGGAACTTAAGCTATTCCTCATAATTGGCCTGATGATATGTATCATATCCTTCCTATCTAAAACAATTCAAAGAGTTACCTGAAACCATTCAGTCAATTTCTTTTTTGCTACGCTAGCGCTAATATTCATTATATCATCACATGGATTTTGAATGGCAATAGTCCATGGAAGAACTCTTACGGAGTTGGATTCTTCGGAAATGCTGGTTGGTTCCAAACCTAGAACATTCCGTTATGGATCTTTACATTTCACCAATCGCTTGCAACTGTGCGAAGATGTACTATTTAGTTCTACGAAGTGCTTCAAAACCTAAGCAAGAGTCGTGTTTATCAAAATCCTCAGTTAGTTCCCGACAGCTACACACAAGCTGCTGAGGTGATGTGTGCCCGGTCGGGAGCTGATTCCATGGATGCTCTACCCAACGAATGCTCCCGGTGAGGAGCAGCATCGCTACGGCCCCCACCCAACACCTGATCTCAGCAGTGTACTGGTAGTGTTATTTGACTCTCTCGCAGTAGGTGATCGATAGAAGGGCAGTTCGACTACATTATTTCGAAATTCACGACGGCACGTGATGATGCGTGAGAATAACGTCAGCGAGAGCAAGCCGTACCAACTGATTCATTGTGCTGAATTTTCAATTCACTCGCAGTCCTGACCGTAATTGAATCATGGCATGTCTTGCCGCATTCCTCACTTCATTCCGTCCTCCTTTATGCTCATTCCTCTTTATCTCGGTTATCGGCTTAGTGTTTCCTGTGTGTGTGTGTGATGTTCTCAAACTCAAATTTAGCTACAAGTGTTTTTGATGTGACATCGGTCTTTTCCGCTTCCAAATACCTGTTTTTCTATAGATTCGTCCAAATTTCTAATCAAGTAAATCCCGAGATACGGCATCTGTTGTCACTACAAAGCTATACATTAACTGTTAATCACTAGGACATTTTCGCCATAACCAAGAGCTTTGCACCTCTTTGAAGAGACTATACTGGAAAACTTGCTGTCACTGATAGTAGCCGGTTTTGTTTTGAATTTTATTCTTTTTCATTTTATTTTATATGATCCATATTCATGTCTAGCATGCGGATTCCAGCACTTCTTGCTTTCGATTCGTTTCCTCGCATTCATCATCCACGAAAGTCTTTCAACTTTTACGTGTGGCTTCGGTTGCTGCTTGCGGATTTTCGTTTCATTTTGAATGTTGTAGAATGGTGGTCGAGTTCATCCTGAAGTCCTGAGATAGCCGGACCGGAGCCTTCCCAAGCGGATTGTAGAGAGTGATTTCTTTCCCGGACAAGTCTGCTACCAATTTCCCGACCCTGGAGGGATGAGAGGCTTGGTTGGCCCGGAGCACATTCCAACTAGAACCATCCTCTTGACGACGAACATCACTATCACTGTGCTATCTGCTCCCTGAATTTTATATTTATCGCTAAAAATTTAGAAGAAAAAACGCTTTAAGTTTACGCATTGTTGTTGTTGAAAAGCGAAAGGTTGATTCTAAAAAATGTAGATATTTCGAGTTGATACTTTTGTTTTTATCTTGATTGATGGAACGTTGATTTCTTTCAGTAGTTGTTTACAAGGACATGTGTTTTTCCAGTGTTCTCAGAACGACTAACGTTTGCCATTTCCTCAAAGAGATTTTCTAATATCCTAACTTATTCTCATGAAGTTACGATTGTTGCCGTACTAGGGATGTAACCTCTCGATCTACGGTGGCAAGCCTTTAGATTCTTCACGATTCCGCTCCTTCTGAAAAGATCGACGATACCTTTTCAAGACTTTCTTTATGGAGATAAGGCATTGGTAAATAACTGCCCTTTCAAGAATTAGTGTGTCCTCGCATCAGCACTCTTTCGAATGCACCGCTTTTTGAACGCTTGCTGTCCGTTAATTTTTAACTTGAAAAGCTTTAATTCTCTTATATTACAGCTCTTCCCAGGTGAGGAATTGAACGACTATAAGACTAAGATAAGGCTTCAGTCCTAGCGCACTTCTTTCTTCTCGTATTTGCTATAAAGAGCAAAGGAGCCGCAGTGATTGGCATTCTGTCGGTCTATTTTTCTTTAGGCGAAGGCAGATCTCTACGTGTAGCGCTTCTAAACAATCAGATCCTCTTGAACGCATCATTAGGGCCAGATAAACGTCTCTTTGTTCCCGCGATCCTCCTGGGGCCCATCCCTTGTGACGACTCGAGTGATCTCTGCCGTTATGAGAACAAACGTCTCCCATTTGTGTCATCTCACTCAGAACAAATTACTTGAATACAAGCTGAGAGACCCCACTATAATCCACTTAACAATTACAAGATAACAAATCTTCGTCAGATACGTCTGGCTCAAAGTGAAGCAGATTTTTATTCCCAAAAAGAAGATGAACTGTCGTGCTTGTTAGCTTTTGCTTTCGGCGCTATCGATATTGTGATGTTAGTATACCATTTTAGCAAATTCTCATTTGATCTTACTACTTTGTGACATTTCTAAGGTGAATTTGCCCTAAACGGCGCAGGTGTAAGATTTCTTCCCATTCTGACGAGGAATGTATTTCTGTTTGATGGCCTATCGGCGTGTCCTTTGCCCTTTTCGAAAGCGATGATGAATCAGTGACAGCCGAGCCATCATAAATTCGCTTCTGATAAGATCTTTTGGTAATGTTCGCAAAGAACTGAAGAAGCGCCACACCATTTTCTATCAGTCGAATGTCGTTATGTCTGCTTGACGAGTGGCAAGGAGGACCTGGAGGCATCGGTTAGTGAATTTCCATGTGTTAAATTCACCGCAGAACCGGGCTTTAAATCTTTGCGATTTGCTAACCGAGTTGAGAGGACAGTGAAATGACCGAGTAAGGACGTTTGTTCTAGAGAAAATTACAATTCGAGTGAAAACTGAACACCTGTAAGTTGAAAGATATTTATGAAGGCATGAAGGCATTCATGGGACTTTCTCCGTCTTTTGCGATAGTAGAGGAAGCCTATCCCATCCCAATCAGCTGAAGGAAGTTCTATCCCATGTGGCTATTTAAAATTTTGTTTTATGAAATGAAGACAAAAATTTCGCAAACTCAGAAATTTTCGCCATATTTGGGCATTTGCACTGCTTAACAGTCAGTTCTATCTAGCTTGTTTACTGTGGTTAGAAAAACGTATGAATATCCCTGAGAACTACCGGTGTTTCAGCCATTTTTCAGCTTAGAGTTTAAAAGTCTCGGAAGGCTGAAAAGCTTGGAACTGTCGAGGTTTTATTTCTTCTATCTCTATATATGGTGCCCATCGTAACGTTATCGATAGCAAATGAGGTTTTCTTCGCGGTGTATACAAAATATTTCGTATAAATAACGTCGTCTGGTAACCGAATTTTCGCTGCTGATAGGAGCTTTCCTCTTGGGATGGAGCAGAGGGTAACGACAGCAGTTGGGACATCCAGATGACAAGATGTGGCGACGACTTCGGGCAGCTGTTCGTTTATGCGAATTATCCTGAAGCGATGCTAATTGGCTGCTCCTCGTCCTCCCCGATCCCACTCGACGCCGCCGCGACGGCCGCCCCGACACCTGTCGCGTCGGGACGGCTTTGATGCCGGCTACGCCATGATGACGATTTAGTCTCACCGTCACACCTGCTGCGAATACATAGCTCCTAAATTCTCTCCTACTAGAAACGGAATGACAGAAAGAGAACCAACTATAGGCAGAATATGGTGTGTTTTTTGTTCGATTACTTGACCACGAACTCCTCTTCAGTGTTCTGGTTCCTATCAGAGAATTATTACACGAGATTACTTAAGTGTGTTCCTGTGTAGGGTACAAAGTGAGTAATTGTATAGTTTGAAACCGTGGATAATCGCGTGAGTGCTACTTACACATCAGTTTGTCTTGATGAATACAATTTTTACCATATTCCACCACGTTAGCGAAAGCAAGCATGTTCGCAGTAGTAGAAATCCGTAGTTATTCACAGGCTCACCTCAATGGGTCAGAGATGATTTTTCACGGTAACAATAGAAAGCCGTTTCGATTCTCCTTGAACTTCATCATACTTGTCGAATTAACACTTCTACAGAATTCGAGAATTCGCGAAAGAGGTCGGCGCCTAACATTACAACTTAGCCTAAAATCTAGCGCAATATAGTGAGCGCCATTTGTATCCAGCCGGTTGGCCGATTCGATCGCTACCTCCTTGCCCATGAAGTTCCCGTCACTCTTCAGAATCGTAGCTTTCGTCGATGTCTCATCTGAGAAGGATTAAGACGACCTATACGTCTGTTTCCTCTCACGACTCATTGTATAAGTCATATCCGCGTCCTCTGTCAATTTACATTCGACCCAGAAATGTCGTGACGTGTTGATGTAATTGAGTAGAGCGACTCCTTGTAACTATCTCCAGGACTGCTGTGATACTCAAAGATCCTATCGGTTTTCGAGTGTTGTAAAAATACTCCCAACGAGATAATTAACTGTGGTAATTTTGCAAAAAAAAAGAGCAACCGAGTGCAAAGATTTTAATCAGTTAGAAAGGTGGAAGGAAAGAAAGATGCGGAAGCGAATAGCGAGAGAAGAAAAACGAACGAAAGATGTTATCGCGTTCTGTTACTGATCACGGTTAACGACCGTTGCTAGCCGGATGCTCTGTAACACCGTTCCAGTTGCATAAACATTGAAATCAAGGTGTGTTCGCTTAAAACAATAAAAAGGGCTTTAAGCAGTCGCAGTTGCAAGTTGAATGTCTCGTGAAGAATGTTCACTCGGTTCTTCAGTGGTTTTTTCCCACTCAAATGAACGACACTCATTGTTTTTTCCAGGATTCCTTCCATCTGCTTTTTTTCGATCACAGCGCGAGTAAAACCTTAAAGTCATAAAAAATGACAAGGTCACTCCTACTCGCATTGTGAAGTTGCTGACATTCAACTAACGTACTTAGGTTCACATTACCTATTTTATCTAGTTTCTTTCCACTCACTCGTACAATCTCTAAAGGTTTTTCTTAGAATAGTCAACGTCTTTAGTTACTTTCTGGCCTTGGTTGGATAGCACAGTGGTAGTGATTCTGATCATCACGAAGACGATGGTGGTTCGATCTCGCCCCAGTCCACACCAAGCTTGTAATCCTTCCAGGATTGGCACATCGGTACCGGTCTTGTCCTGGAAACAAAGCACTCTTTGCAATCCCACTGGGAACGCTCCAGCGGGGCTATCTAAGGACTCTAGGGAGAATCGACTCAACCAGCTTCTACGACATTCAAGATGAAATTAAAATGCTCAAGCAGCAGCGAAAGCCATACTTAAAATTTGAAAGACCTTCGTGGATGATGGATGCGAGGAAGCGAGTCGAATGTGAGAAGTGCTGGGATACGCACAGTAGACGTGTGGAGGTCATATAAAAGAGAAAGTCTTCAGGTCGCGCTTATAGGAGAAACGTCGTCAAAAAGCAAATTTATCCTTTGCTATCTAACTAGAGAAACTTGTGATAAGAGAATAACTCCTATTTTTTCTCATAGTTGTGCCTTAATAGAAAGTATATTAATAGCTTCCTTTTTTCTTCCTAGTATTGCCTTAGTGGAAATAATACCACTCATATATCAACAATATTGTGGCTTAAAAAGAGTAAAGCTCTGGGCGTTAATTAATCCCTGAGGGGTGCGCCATGCATTCGACTTCATTAAGCACCGTTTGGAGGTGATAGAATACATATCTAGCCTTTACATGACTCGTGGTGGCCTACCGATTTACCGAGCTAGTTCTGCTATCGTCCCAGACAAGTCCGGTACCAATTTGCCGACCCTGGAAGGATGGAAGGCTTTGTAGGCCATGGGCGCAGGGATCGATTCCACGTGTTTGTCGCAGTGCCGCCTCCAACCACTGTGCTGCGCGCACTCTTGTAGCGGTAGTAGTGCTAATAATGGTAACTAAAAAGCAGTGTTAGTGCTATTATAAGTATTACTTGAATATTTGAATACTTGGATACTTGGATGGCCTCTCTTTACTGGTTGTGCGGGCCCCAGCATAATTTCAAGTTTTTCTGAGTTTTGATGGCTTAGCTATTGAGACCTACCTGGAGTCCCGAGGTCAGCCAGGCCAGTCTGCCCCAAGTCGTCACCATTGCAGGCAGTTGCCACCTTTGTGGATCAAAGGGAGATTTGCCACCATGCAACTAGTTTTGTGCCAGAACGGTGACAGATCCTGGCATTGGTTTGCTTTCAGCCGGGCTTCTTGGTGGAAACACCGGATTCCTCAACTCGGGAGGCCCTACTGGGGATGAATCTCCCCTCTGCACTTCGCAAACCGACACCGTTAAAACCTCCTAGCTGCGATGTAAACCGTCGGAAGGAGCATAAAATATAATTGCCAATACTAACTATGTGCTAGTGAGTGGCAACAATAATAATATTATTATTATTGATAGTAATGATAATAGTAATGGTAGTAATAATAATAATAATAATAATAATAATAATAATAATGATAATAGTGATAACAGTGACAGTAATAATAATAACAGCATTACTGATGGTAATAGTAATGATATTAGTCTAGGCAAGTGTGATAAATTTGATTTTCCAGATAATCTAAACAAGGCTCAACTGACCATTGTGCTATTATTTTTCTTTGGCAAAGTGAAAAATCTAGTTTTTGGTGATTCAGAGGAGTACGGTCTCAGCGAGAAACTGACTCGTCTAGTTAAGCTTCAACTGCGTCGGAGCAATCGTCCCCATCGTTTCAGTCGCAAACGACCCCGAGTGCTCCCTATATGGTGTCCGTCCCTTTCCTGAACCACTTCCCAGTGTGTCCACGTACCAGTGTTAGTAACGATCGGTCACAGCCCCTGCACGTACTGGTTCCCATTCCATGTACTGGTTCGTGATGTGAAGTGAGCAGATGAACGCACAAAGGTGGTGTGGTCGTCGGACGAAACAGCAATGCGAGACTCCATCCGAGTCGGATGATGGAGGTGATTGCGGCCGAGCAGGCCGAACTACAGCCCTTCGATTGCCTGTGTCCGGCGCCGGTGCCTGGCCACGGACAACGCCGGCGAACCCTGGCCGAAGTCCGCAGAATCACGAATTGCGGAACTCCAGTAAACCATAGTTTATGCGACCATTCACCTCCCGATTCCCCGAATATTCCAGGTTTTCTGATCGCATTTTTGTTTACATGGATGAAATACAGTGCTTTATCGCATTTTATTTCATTAAATAAGGGACGAGGGCGTAAGTTGTCTGCGACTAATCGCATTAATTCGGCCATATGGCCTTGTATTCTTGCCTTGAGGAAATCTTAGGTAAACATATTGGAACGAAACGATGACGTGTATGACAAACAAGCATTGTGATCAAATGAAAATAACTCTTCCACAGAATCCTACGTATATGCATATATGTGTATGTATATGTATACTACATATATATGTATATATATATATATATATATATACTACACACACGCACGCACACACACATACACACACACATGCACACACAAAGATATTTTGTGATGGCATACTGCATAACGATGCTGATGGGGCTTTGAAAACCGTCGACCACGAGGCGTGTCCTTGAGAGTTTGCCCGTCCATCACTCATCGCTTTTTCTTGTTTTGGAGTTCTTCGCGAGCCTTAAGAAGCAATGGTTTTGTTGGCGCTGAGAAATGAGAACGAGTTGAAGGAACTGGGAGAGCAGAGCATCTGCAAGTGTGTTTCCATCATATTGAATCGCAGTATTCAAGAATTCTACGAATCTACAACGAGATGTCGACTTGAACTAACCTTAGTAGACTTCAAAAGTCTAAACATTCTTCGTCCTCCTTTGTATAAGTAAGCACCTTCGTATTTTTGCAATGCTTAAGCACAGTTAAATAGAAGAGCGAGTTGTTTATCGATCTCTCCACTGGCTGAGACGATTATCTATGCGGACCCTTTTCATGAGAACAGTTATTACGAGTGGTGAGGCCCTCCGATTAGAAATGCTGTGCCTGAGCAAATCCTAAGGCCTCCTTTCGAAAATCCAACTGGGGATGCTGCGGACAAAATGAGATCTGCGGCATATCGGTGAAGTGAATCTAAACTAATGGAATTTTCACTCATATCTTAATTGGGAGATGTACTTAATGTAGTAAAATAAGGATTTTCCCACATCATTTTATTCCAAGGAGATAGCTAAATATATTAATTCTTATTATTTAAAGCCGTTTTATTCAGAAATATTGCAAAATGTTGAAGCAGATTTGATCAGTGACGGTCTTGTGACTATCAAAGACGAAAACATGATATCCTTATTATTCTGAAGATGCTGAACACCTAGCACTATTATTAGAAGACCCCCGGCAGTTGTGGCACTGATGAGTGAGTGCTGTGGGGGTCTTCGCTGTGGACCTGCCTGAGACGCACTGCATCCGGGCAGATCGGCAGGTCAATTGCCTTTGTCACGTGCGTCGTCGTCGGCGGACGATCTACATTTGCGACCCCGTCTACGGTCGTCCGCTTTGCTACAACCACCAATACCTCGTTTCCTGCTTTTCTTTTTCCGCTGGACCACTCTCATTCAAGTGCCGTTTGATAATAGCCATGGTAGAAAACGACCAC